GATGGATGGATGGATGGATGGATGGATGGATGGATGGATGGATGGATGGACAACTTTAGCTAAATTTGCTAAATGTAGCTGAGGTCTGTAGACCAGAGGGTCCAGAGCTGGTCCTGGAGGACCACCATCCCACATGGTTTACTTCTGGATTGTTTCTTTTAGTTTACATGAGGCTGAAAGGATCAGTTTACAGTAAAACACTGTAAATGTTGTGATTATTATCAGTGTGTCAGAATCCACCAAACGAGTGTTTGATTGACTCAAAGCTGAACGAGTCACATCTGCTTTTCTTCTTCTTTAAATCAACATGAGTCATTTTCTCTGATTTACTGACCTGATCATCACATGGTGCTGAGTGTGAAGAGCTGCTGTCAGCGTTTCTACTACAACACAGGAGAGCTGTCGCTAACTGTTAGCAGCTAAAAGCTAACTNGAATACATCACTTCAGTTTTCCAATGAACAGTTTTAAAATTATTTATTGATGCTTCTTTAAGGAAAATTTTACTACAAACAAAAGAAAAAGACAAAGAAGCAGCCGAACTAGCAATCCTCAACAACTTTTTAATTTTTACACCAGGAGCCAAAATTCTGTTTCATGAAATCACATCCCCAGCAATCAGCAGTTGTAGAAGGGTTCATACACCGCTGTTAGTGTTGTGCATACTGTATATTGTACATGAATTATTGTCAGCTACTAAATGTCAAATTGAGCTTGTGCTTTAAAATTAGCTTCTGCTAGTTTTTCTATGACATAAGCGCTTTTGAAGTTGCGGACCTAAATATTTACATAAGCACTTTAGAAATTGCGGAGCTAATTTTTGATTAGCGCTGCCCACCACTGCTTTTAGCGATAAACAAACAAAGCTGCGTTATGGAGGTAGGTTAACAACCTCACAGTTTAGTTCAATTCTTTGGATCACATTTCAATTTTGATTCCATCTGATTTTGCTTTAAACGTTTCTCTATGACTTTAATAATAAAAAGAAGAAATACACAAATAATTCATTAGTTATTGTGGATAATTTTTAGATATTTATTTTCTTGCCCATATAAACAGTAATGGTATACTTTAAAGGGGACATATCTGCAAAATCCACTTTTTTAGCTGTTAAATGCATTTTGTTGTGGACTTGGAGTCTCTAGATGGCAGACATGTTTAGTCTAGAGTCCTTACAGAGCTCCACAGTTTGTTGATTCATTTTGTGTAACTCTTTTTTTTTTAAACTAAATACAAACTATCTGTGTCATCATCAACATTCTCAGGGTTCCTGCAGATCTTTAAAAAGTCTTAAATTCATCAATCTAAATATAAGGCCTTAATTAGCCTTAAAATGTTTTAAATCAATCTTCAAAAGTCTTAAAAATGTTAACACATTGTAAGTAGGATGATTGTAATTCATCTCAAATAATAAAATAATTGGTAACATTTATTTATTTAAATATTTACATGCAGACATTGCCCTTTGACATCACTTCCTGTTATTTCACATATAAATATCTCAACAACTGTCCATCTGAGCAATGTGAAATTTGCTTTGTAATACGTTAATAATGTTGTCTTTTCAAAACTGCATTCACTTTTTTTTTTACAAACTTTGTCACAGGCACTTTAAGGTTTCATCTACAGCAAATGGGGGTTAAGACCCCACTGTGGGTCCTAAAACTCCAAATTTTGGGTCGTTAAACCGACTGCTAAAATTTTTTTTGCTATATTTGATGAAAAGGCAGTTAGATATGGATAAAAACAATTGGTCTATTAAAGATATTTGAATAATTCAACCAAAAAAACTTTGATTCATGAGTTTCTGCCAGGTTTTTTTTCCACTTGTGTTTATTATGAAATTGGTCTTAAATTTAATTTCACTTGGCATTAAAAAGTCTTAAAAAGTCCTAAGTTTAACTTGCTTTGAACTATAGGAATCCAGATTCTCTCAGTAATAAATCTGTAAACCTGCAGCCAGGAGAGGTTACAGAACATGTATCACCACCTCCATTTATTTACATAAAATCCAGTGTAAAATTGAAAATTGCAGATTTTCACTTTAACTATAAATATCTGAAAAGCAAAAAAAAAAAAACGTTGATTCTTTAGGAAAAGAAAAAAGTAACCGTAACACATAAATGTAGACACACATTGGCTGTAGTCTTGGTCCTACAAATGTGTGTCTTTCTGTTAATAGTTTTAAGTCAGAACTGAACTAGCTGTGCTCTCTTGCTGAGCAGGGCTCTAGCAAACGCGACCAGATTTCCTAATAGTGCGACTAAAAAAAACGACTGGTCGCACTGGTGCAACCAGTCGTTTGAGGGGGAGCGGTCCCCACTGAAGCTAAAAGTTTTCATCATGTTCCATAAAAATAATCCAGCAGTATCAATGGTCGCCCGCTGACAGTCTCATGTCTCCTAATAACACTGAGCTCTGCTCCACACCTCCACACACGTTTGTTGTTCTATCCTAATGGGGACTTTGCATTGGCTTCCATTCATTTCCCGTCAGTTCTATAGTCAAACATAACCTGCCAGGTAGACTACACACCTGACCCAAACCCTAACCTCACCTGGCTGTGTGCACCAGGGAAATGGTCAATAATTGTACCCATCATGAAGCAAAAACATGTGCACACACACACACATAGTGAAACAACTATAGTTTTTTAAATCAAAGTGTGAAAAACTTGTTTTTCTTGTTAACTGTGAAGATGAAAAGATGTGGACGGTTGCTCGCTCTTTAAGTCCATCTTGTTAATTTAACAGTCGGGGTCTGAGCGCTGCAGATCATTTCAGCAGCATGAGGAAGCTCATGAGTATGGCAGGCTGGTTTTCCACTTAATCGACTTCACCACAGTTACATTCCAAGTATGTGAAATAGGTTCTTCTGGGTCTCAGGAGGATAAAACTAGACATATTAGATAGTTAAGTGAAATAATATAAGATTCAACTAATGCTAATGAAATAGCAGACTTTTATGGGTTCTGTTATTATTATTTTTTAAATCTGCACAACCTTTTGATAAATATCAGTAATATTTTATTAATCAATATTCTCTGTTCATCATTCTGGTTTATCCAAAGCCAAAGATCCAAAGTTGTCCATCTGAGGGACAGGTGTCTAAAAAAATGTAACCATGAAATGTTTAAGATATTTATAATATGTTCAGCTCTTAAACATTTGCACTTATAATTTTATAGAATCACTTTAAATACTTTTCAGTAAGTTAAATGTCTACAATTCTGGTTCAAATAAAGAACTTCATGTTTACTAGACTCTTAACTAATTATTTTCGAGTTAATGTTGCCTGAATGAACAGTGATTAAAAAATAACCTGTAAAACTCTGATGTTAGGCGACGTGGTTGATATTTTGGGTGCGCCTAAGAAAAACTGTTAGGAGCACTGGTACAACCAGTGCAAAAAGTTAGTCTAGAGCCCTGCTGAGGCTAAACAGCTGTTTTATCACAACACTAGCTTACCTTTACACTCGTCAACCAGTTCAGCCCCCCCACAAAGTCCTGCACCTCCCTGACTGTGGTCAGGCTGCAGCCAGGCCACAGTTTCCTTGTTTTATGGCCACTCTAGCTGCATTTTACATTTATCCATTCTGTCTTTGCTTCTGGCATTTTTCTGATTTGTTTTGACCAACCTGACATCCACACATTAAACTAACTGAAGCCTAAACACCCCAACTTTATGCTGATAACTCCATGTTATATATGTATGTCCATAATAATTATACCTAGTGTTTTCTTAAAATTATTTACATAATGTAAATAAAATCATCAACTAATTAAAACGCATATATATTTAATGTTGTAATGTTGAAAAAAGAACAGAACACATTCACACCATTTGAAAAAATTTGTGAGTCAATGAAAGCTTTTTTTCTGACTCCAGTGACAGATCTCAGACCAGATTCAGCCCTGAACCAAAATGGATTTGGAAAGAGACTGTCACAAACCCAGAAACACTGGTTTTAACTGAGAAATATGTGAATAAATGATACTTTATTGATCCCAAAGAGAAATTACAGTTCGGAACAACCCGTTCAAGAGATATAGACACAACACAACAGACTTGTAGAACAGGAGCCCCTGGTCCTCCTGTGTTTTAAACTGTATATCCTACATAACTTGGATTAATTGTCTGTTCTTTAGTATGAAGACCAGCTGATTAGTCCAAAGCAGTTTGTGCACATTTCTGGAAAAGCCACTCTGAAGGACTGGAAAAGAGCCATCAGGATGGGGGGAGTCATGCTGAGGTGAGGGGAACGCCTCTGGTAATAAAAAGACGTTTCAGAAAACTGTTAGACCATGAAAAAATAACTGTAGTCTGTAAGGCTACGTTCACACTGCAGTCAAAGATCCTGATCCTCTAAAACAAACATTTATTGACAAAGTCACATCTTTTCGGTTTTTCTTTTTTAATCTCGTTCTGCTTTCCAGGAAAATGATGGATTCAGGTCAGCTGGACTTCTACCAGCACAGCACTCTGTGTACCAACACGTGTCGCAGCACCAAGTTTGACCTTTTAATCAACAACACTCGCTTCCCTCCGGACGGCGCCAGCCTCACCACGCCCACATCGTCTCAAGGTGAGACCACAGAGACCTGCAGAGCACTGACTGAGCTGTGCTGAAGTGGCTGAAACTGAGTTTTTAAAAGCTAAGACAGAGAAAAGTCAAGCCAGCTAAAACTTAAAACTAGCTAAAGGATAGTTAAACGTAGTAAAACAGTAGCTCCAAGATAAAAGTAAAAGACTGGCTAAAAGCTAAAACTAACCAAAGGCTAGGTAAAAGCAAAAAGTTACAAAAAGATAGAAAGGTAAAACTAACAAAATTCTAAGGGCTAAAAGTAGCTAAATGTTATTTATTCTTTACCTTTAACATGATGTCAGTAATTGTCTTTTTAAGACACTCTGTCCTCAGCTTTCTGTGCTCCATGTTCAGTTTGCTACTAGAGCTGCACAATATCGTTCGAACATCGTCATCGTGGTGTGCACAGTAGTCACATCGCATGAGGCAAATTAAATCAGCGTGTAAACCATAAGTCATTGCGCTGAACGGTCGTGTATTACAGATTTTATTTTGACTGGTTGATTCCATTGGCTGAAGTGGGCAGCGGTGTAAACAAAAAAAAAAGTCAACAAACTTTCATTTTCTTGTATTTTTTTTTCTAAAAAAAATCAGTCCATTGGACCACCATAGGATAAATTTGTAGGACCACTAAAAGATCCGTGCATAGGACCACTACAGCATATGTTTGTAGGACCACTATAGGATCATTTCGTAGGACCACTATAGGATTAGTCCATAGGACCATTATAGGACCACTAAAATATCTGTCCATAGGACCACTACAGGATAGGTTTGTAGGACCACTACAGGATA